CTCCACAGATGCTCAGTGGAAAAAGGAGTTAGAAGCCTTGCTTGTGAAATCTGTGGGACATGCAAACCAGAATATCGCTGTCCTCATGATTGACCACCTGGCTGGAGAAGGAACCCACTCAGACCCTGTTGGGCAAACCCACATTCCTGGAGAGGCCCTTGAGGGTATTACTGAAGCTGTACATAGCACATATTTAAAGGTTCCCGATGCTGTGACCCCGAAAAAGCATTTACTCATGTAAAGCAAGGACCAGCTGAGCCTTATACGCAATTCAAGGGCTGCTTGAAAGAAGCTCTTAAAAGACAAATTGAGAATGACTTTGCCAGAGAGGTGTTGCTTTCAAAATTAGCTGTAGAAAATGCTAATGAGAAGTGTAAAAAACTTCTGAAGTCCTTGTCTAAGGAGGAACCCACCCTGCTGGAAATGATAGAGGCATATAAACACCTGTGTACCTTCAGCATAGGGCAACTGTTACTTGTGAAGCTGTGGGGGCTGGTATAGCAAATGCCTTTGTGTGGAAGGGGCTAACAGTTGGCCTGTTAGCTAAAGGAGTGAGAAGGAAGTTAAGAAGCAAGAAGTTGATAAGGAGCTCTCTCCAGGGCTATAACTAAAGAGACCATGAGAAGTGAGGAATTGAAGAAAGATAAGAAGAGAACTTTGCAGCTGGATGAAGTGTTTTTTAGAAAGTCAGTTGAAGTCACTGTAACTTTTCAGCAATGATGTTATGTTGATTTATTGTGGCCAATAGTTAGGGTAGAAGAAGTATAAACAATTGGAAAGTGTATAAAAGTTCAGCCATGTTCAATAATAAAGTTGCCATCTGAGACTGCTTGTAGTCTCTGCCTTGTGTCATGACCGCCTTGACAGTGTTCTCTGGTGACCCCGACGTGATTCAACACCCTAAGGAACATACTTGGTCTGGACCCATACAGGGTCCTAGCGACTGGCAACCGTGACCCACTGGGACCTAGTGGGGGAAGTGGCCTTGGTGCAGCTGAGAATGGTGGGTGGAAGCCACAAGGAAGTCCAGACCTGACTTTCTCCTATCAAGACACCTGGAAGTAGGTGAGCCTCCAAGTAGTAATAATGGGAAATAATTTATCTAATGAAGAAGAGACTGTTTTGGCTACATGGAAAGTTTTGTTAAGAAATAATGGAATTAATAGTTCAGACTATGCCCTTCATAGTAAATTGCTGTGGGCTAAATCACAGGATTTTGGCACTGATCCTGACATAGCGTTTAGTATTAAGACATGGAAAAAAGTCAGGGACAGACTGTGGGAAGTCATCTGAGCAGGAGATTAAACTGTTTTTGATCTAGCTGTTACCTGGGGATCACTTTTTGAGGCATTAAAGGCATGGAAAACAGAGCGAGAACAAGCAGAACAGGACGTGGATGAAGAATCTGGGTTGATAACAGAAACTGACAAGGGAGATGAGGCAGAGGGGGCCTCTGATGGGGAACTTGGTGAATCTGTCCTTGAAGGGGGAACTTGGTGAATCTGTCCTTTAAGAAGGTGCAGGTGCCATGTAAGTTACCAGGCAGGCTACCAAAGCTTCCAGGAAAGCTGCCAGAGTTTCTGGGCTGGATGCCAAAGCTTCTGGGAAAGCTGCCAAGGCTTCTGGGTAAACTGCACAGCAGCTCCCTATGGTGCCTGAATACACTACACCGCTGCGCCAGGTAGCTGAAATGTCTTTAGCAGAGAGAGACACCCAGACATCTGCCCCCCTGCTTCCCTCTGCTCTAGTCCAGCCATCTACCCCCTCACTCCCCTCTGAGTCGCATGAACAATCTGCAAGTTGTATCCTCTGTTACCTGACAGTGACAGAAACAGTGAATCAAGTGAAGAGTTGCCTGCAGTAACACCTGAGTTGGGGCAGGGAACTGTTGACAGTTCACCTTCTAATAGCTTTACCCCTACTACCCCATGGACTTTGCCCCCATGTCAAGTAACTGGGCTTCCTTGACTGCCTCAGGACTTTTGGGAATTTGTTAGGAAGAAAGCAGCTGAAGAAAAGAATTGGGACATGATAGAAAGATTAGGTGCTCCAAGAGTACCTCAGGAGAACGGTGCCAATGCAAATGTTGCCTGTGATAATCCTATGTCTTTTCCAGGTTTTAAAGCAGCTCCTGGAACACGGCAGGATGATAGCCATCACATCTTTGCCTGGAAGGTTGTGCAAGATCTCCAATCGAAAGTGGCTCAGTATGGTATTAATTCCTCAGAGATAATGCAATTAATACATGTAATTAATGCAGTTATCCTTGCACCTTATGACATCATGAATCTTTCTACAATTTTATTCCAGCCAGTACAATACGGTGTATTGCAAGAAACTTAGAGGCAAGTGGCTGAGCACACAGCTCTAACAAATGTGCAGTTGCCTCAACACCACCCTCCTCATGCTGTGGGTGTTGATGCCTTACTGGGCACTGGGCCTTTTGCTAACCCAGATTTACAGGCAAGGTGGGATCCCTCAATTTTGGCGCAAGCTCAGAGAATTGGCACGAGTGCTTTAATTAAAACAATGGAAATGGCAGCTCCAAAACAGAGATATGTTACTGTACAACAAGGGATGAGAGAACCATTTTTGCAATTTGTGGAAGAACTTGCTGCAGCTATTGAAAAACAGGTAGATGATGAATCTTTGCAACACAAATTGTGTATGCATTTGGCTAAAGAAAATGCAAACTCAGACTGCAGAATGATTATTGACACTTTACCTGAGGAACCCACATTGCCTGAAATGATTACTGCTTGATCAAAAGTTGGTCCAGTAGAGCATAAAATGGCAGCTCTTGCTGCGGTTCTAAGACCTTCATCAAAATGCTATAATTGTGGGCAGCAAGGACACATAAGGGCACAGTGTAATACCCGGAAAATAACATCTAAGTCCAGTGCAAACAGAAATATTGAGTGCAATTATTGTACTAAATTTGGGCACTATGCTAAATAATGCAGGAGTAAATGTCATGCAAATGGTCAGCTGTTGCAGGGAAACAAGAAGAGGAACATAAAGGGGCATGTGGGAAAACAAATACCCCAACAACCACAGCAGCAAATATGGGCCTTTCCAGCACTGCAAAGCTACCCATTTGTGAACAATACTCAGGGGCAACAAGTGGGTCTGCAGGGATTGATATACCCACCACCAACACAGTAACCATTCTGACAAAAGTAATGTGCAAAGTGCCCCTCAATGCCTATGGTCCAGTAGGACAGGGATTGAGTGTATTTTTAATAGGAAGATCAAGTACTACACTTAAAAGGTATTCATGTGCATGTAGGACCTATTGATGCTGATCATTTAGGACAGATTCATGCTATGGTATCCATTGATGACCCTCCTGTCACTATTCAGAAAGGACCTTGCATTGCTCAACTTGTACCTATTGTGAGTTCTGTTCCAAATACAGTGGACCGAAGTTGCGGCACAGGAAGTTTTGGATCAACAGGGGTACCTCAAGTGTTCTGGACTGAGAAAGTAATGGAGAACTGTCCAGAAAAGACATGCATCCTCACCGCCAGTTGTGATAGTGGTCACAAGGGTTTGGAGGTGAAGAGAGGTGAGAATATTGATCTCATGTTCAGAAGGCTTGATTTATTATTTTATGATATATATATATTCGACATTATAACCATACTAAAAAGAAATAGAAGGAAAAGTTTTCAGAAGGCTAGCTAAGCTAAGAATAGAAAAGAATGAATAACAAAGGTCTGTGTTTTACCAGAGAGCGAGACTCAGCTCTGCCGGGAGTGGTCAGTAAATCCAAACATCCCCAGGAGACCAATCACGGATCCACCTGTTACATTCCACAGCAGCAGATAACCATTGTTTACACTTTGTTGCTGAGTATCTCAGAAGGGAGAAAAATCCCAAGAAAGGATTTTTCAGAAAAGATGTCTGTGACATTTCACCCTTTTAATTTTATTAAATTAAAAAGAAAAATGTTTGTAATTTTCTCTGCTGTGCACATGCAGAGGAAAGAACAAACACTTGAGAGGTTATCTGTTCCCAATCCAAATGTCAGTCAAGTGCTGGTGTGGAAAGAACAGGGAATTTCTTCACCTGCAGAAAATTAAATGCTATCAAATCACGAAAACAATCTTACAATATAAGAAAATGCAAAAACGACACAAAGAAAGTCCGAGTCCAAACAGCTGAGTTTCAGGAAAAAGTCCATGGACTGAAGATGTTCCTCTTTGACATCTCTGAAACTCCTTTTTGGTCCTGAAACAGGCTTGCTGCAGAAAAGTCCATCAATAGTTATGAAAAGTCCATTGACAGTCATAGAACAATTTCAAAAATTTGAGACAACTTCTGGAATGTCCTGGCCACAGCCCTTTATTGAACAACTTTGGGCTGAAGTTAATTTTTGGCCCTTCAGTGCTTCAGAGCTGCTGCCAGGTATTTCAACACTTCTGATTTAATTAAAAATTTTGGGGGTTTTTTTGTTTTTTTTTTTTTTGTTTTTTTTTTGGTTTTTTTATCTATTGAAAAAAGCAGCAGCAGCAGAGCAGCCCAAGAAAGGCCCTGGGAGGCCCTGGCCCATGGAGAGGGATCAGGAACCCAAGATCTGGTCCACAAAAAGGTGGGCCAGGACCAGAAGGGTGAAGCAAAACCCCCAAACCCATCAGGAGGCCGGAAGGTGGCCCTGGCCAAGGGACCCAAGCCCAACAGCCCAGGCCCAGCCCCCGAGGCAGGCTGTGCCTTGCCACAGGCCTGCACCCTGCTGCCAGTACAATGGCAGAACGGATGGTGAAACGCTTCTTTTCCCCAGAATCACTGAGGCATGCCAGCAGCAGGGGAATAGAAGCCCTCCCAAAAATCCTCATCTCAGGTGTAGGATTGTTTGTTCCTCACAGCAAGCACGCGATGATCGCTTCCTGCTATGCCCTCTGCCTCTGCAATACAAATACAACAGGTGTGTCTCCCATCTGCCTCACGGCACCACCCCCTCTGGGCTGGGGACCAAAGGTAGAGCTTTTGAGACCCACCTGCTCCTCGCTGCTGGGGTGCACGAGGGGCGGGATGGATGGCAACCTCCAAAGGGCAATCCCCGAACAAATGCCCCCCAACCCCCCAAGAATGGTGATTTTGGAAACAGGCAGCCGGGCTGCCCCCGCCCCCAGCTGTCGGGCCATGCCTCCTCCATGGAAGGAGAGGCTGACGCCCTCTTCTCCTGTCCCAGCTCCCCCTGCAGGGGCAGCCTGAAAAACTCGGGGGGGAAATCGCTTTGGGCGCAGGAGCCGCCGCGGGTTGCTCCGAGGGTCCTGCGGGTTCGGTGGCGTTTTCAGCATCATCCTGAACAGGGACTGGCTCGGCGGCAGGCGGCAGGGGTGCGCAGGAACACACCGCTGCTGTGTCGCTTGGCTCCGGGAGTGGCAGCACAGGTGACGAGGCCAGAGAGGGGGCTGGCGGAGGCAGATCACTGTCACCTAGCAACATTGGTTCAGCCACAGGGAGCGGTGTTTCTGAGCTGTCAGATGCAGGCATGGAAGCCGGTGAAGGCGCGGACAGGGCCGCCCGAGGAGGCGGCCGTGGGGCGGCTCCAGGAGGCGGTCCCGCAGGCCCGGCAGAGGGGGCATCGAAGACCAGTGCCGCCCCCATCTCTGAGTGGGGCGGGGTCCAGGCGGCCGGCCATGGGGGGGCCTGCCGGGCATCCAGGGGCTGTGCTTGTGGTGCCGGCCAGGGCGTTGCTGCCCATTCTTCATTCCCCGAAAAGAAGGGGGGGAGAAAGATGGCCCCATCTGAGCATGCTCCGAAGACACAGTAAAAAAAACTTTTTCGGCTCCGAGTGAAATTCGCCCCCCCCGCTGGGATGCAGGGGGGCTGGGAAGCAGCAGATTGTCCCCCTCCAAAGGATCTTCTCCTGCTGGAGTCGGGGGAAATGGGGCGAGCCTGTTGCAGTTAGCAATGTAGTTAGGGAAAAACCGCTGCTCTTCGTTCCAAGACCAGAAAGAGTGCCTCAAATGTTAGATAAATTCAGGGGTGCCCGAATCCATGGTCCAAAAGGACTGGAAAAATGGATTCCATGCACTCCCATACAAACACATCCAGGGCATACAGCGCATTCGTAAAAAACCCAAAAAGCTTTGCCCATTGGAAAAACTCATAGAAATGTCTTTCTGACAGGAAAATTCCAAGAATTCCATCCTCTTCACTCCATTTTTGCCAGAGGGCAATAAGATTCTCCTCCGAAGGGGAGAAAGGAACCTCGACCCTGGTGGGAATGCGCCATCACCTTTGCAGCCGTAATCTGCAACGGCCAGGATCAGCAGGAAGGGAAAAGCCAACAGTACCTTTTGAAAGAGTCCAGCATGCTCTGGCCATCTGCACGGTGCTGAGCTTTTCAGCCATTCTCCTGGAGACTTTTCAGAAGGTTCTTTTTGTGGTTAGCCTTGGCTGTGAACTCTGTCCAAATCAGGATCTTCAGTTCTTCAGCTCCTGGCTATAATCCACTTCTGTGGTCACTTGTGAAGCAGCCATCAATGCCACACATTCGGGGTTTACCTACTGCAGCAAATGCTCCTCTGGGATCTCATTAATTGATGATTTGCTCTTCAGACCAGTGGTCACCAATTGATGATTTTTTCCTCCTCAGTCACTCAGGGTTCACCAATTGTGACAGTGGTCACAAGGGTTTGGAGGTGAAGAGAGCGGCGAGAATGTTGACCTCATGTTCAGAAGGCTTGATTTATTATTTTATGATATATATATTCTACATTATAACTATACTAAGAAGGAATAGAAGAAAAAGTTCTCAGAAGGCCAGCTAAGCTAAGACTAACACTCAAGGTCTCAGCCTGTGAAGTTAGACATTGATATTAAAACTGCTACTGATGTACAGAAATTGGTTGGTTTAATAGGTTGGATTAGATCATATTTAGGCATAACTAATAATCAGATGCAACCATGGTTTGATTTGCTCTCAGATATCACTTCCTCTACTGAGGAGAGGCAATTGACCCCAGTGGCAAAAAAGACTCTAGAAGAAATTGAATTAGCCTTAGCACACAAATTTGTTAACAGAATAGATACCTCTGTTGGTGTTCAATTGTTTATTTTGAAGGACCATGAAATACCATGTGGAATACTGTGTCAATGGAGCGATAATTGGGAAGATTAACTGCATAATCTGGAGTGGATATATTGATCTTTCAGATCTCGGAAAACAGCTCCAGGACTTTATGAGCTTTTTGCAGATATCATCATCAAAGGCCACAGACGTCATGAGATTTGGGGACATGACCCTGTGACCATTGTGATACCTGTAAAACAGTGGTATTTTGAATGGTGCTTTGAAAATAATAACGAGTTACAATCTGCCTTATCTTGTTTTACAGGCCAAATAAAATACCATTTGCCTTCTCATCCTGTTCTAAAACTGGCCAAACAAATTCATTTTGAAGGGAAACAAATTTGCTCTCCTGTTCCAGTGGAAGGTATAACAGTTTTTACAGACGGATCTGGGAAAACGGGAAAAGCAGCTGTGGCTTGGAGAAAGGATGATCACTGCTAATATGAGACAATGATTCAGCAAGGATCTCCTCAATTGGTTGAACTTTGTGCTGTTCTTTTTGCTTTTACTTTATTTCCTGATTCTGTAAATAGAGTTACTGATTCCATTTATGTTGCCAATTAGGTTCAGCATTTAGATCAAGCATTGTTGTATAATATTCAAGAGAAACCATTATTGATCATGTTAGTGAAGTTATGGACAGTTATTAGTGGTCAAAAATATCCTTACTTCATCATGCATATTTGTAGCCATACGCCATTACCTGGATTTTTTTTGAAGGCAAGGTCTATGTAGATTCTCTAGTAGCTGCTGCTGCAATCGAGACTGTACCTGATGTGTCGCAGCAAGCAATTTTATCTCATCAATTTTTTCGTCAGAGTGCTCAAGCTTTACAGCAGCAATTTAAATTGTCTCCTGGTGAAGCAAAATCAATTCTTTCTTCTTGTCCTGACTTGTCACATGACTCATGTCACTCAATATTATGATACCAACCCTAGGGGTCTTTCCGCTTTAGAGGAATGGCCAACTGATGTTACTAAAATGCCAGAATTTGGTCACTTTAAGTATATTCATGTCACAGTTGATACCTTTTCTCATGCAATGGTTGTTTCAGCATTCACAGGAGAAAAACCTCATGATGCTATTCATCATTTTCATCATGCCTTTTCTATTCTAGGTGTTCCATGTCAAGTAAAAATGGATAACGGCCCAGCATATGCTTTGCAGAAAATGCAAACATTCTTTTGTGCTTGGGGCATTGAGCATTCAACAGGCATTCCACGTCTCCACAGGCCAAGCAATCATTGAAAGGGCCCATGGTCTTCTTAAACGTCAGGTTCAAAAACAAAAAGGGGGAATGTAACAGGAGTCACCTCAAGTGAGATTAGATAAAGCTATTTATGTGTTAAACTTTTTGCATTCCCTACCTGACTCACAGTTATCTCCAATCTTTTACCATTTTTCATCTTTGAATTCTAAGCAACCAGATTTCTGTAGAAATGTCAAGGTATGGGTCAAGAATTTAATTACCTGTATGTGGTCTTGTCCAGAGGAACTAATAACCTGGGGAGGGGTTATGCTTGTGTTTTGACAGATAATGGTCCTCGATGGGCTCCTGCTCGCTGTGTTAAACCTTATCTGGAGCACGCAGGACGGGACACGTGTGGTAGATAGGGACAGGCGTTCGGAAGATTACGCAATGTAACAGAAAGGCAGAACCCCCTGTTCACCTAAGATAAGAAACCACCCTAGGAGGAATGTAACCCCCTAACGGTAGTAACTTTCCATTCCACCCCTGGTAACTTTCCACTCCTTACTAACCATAGATAGTAGAGGCAGACCCCCCTGTGACGTAGAGAATCCCTTAGACTATAAAACCCCACGAGAAGAGTTAATAAACGCCTTTGTACCGTCCACCACATTGGTGTGTGCATGCTCATTGGCCCGAGCAACCCTGGAGAGTGGGTCGCTGTGCTGTTCCTCAGAACCAGGTCGCCTTGCCTTATATCAGAAGGCAACAGACATGATGGATGGTTCTGCAGCTGAAACAGAACGTGCAGATGACACAGGCTAAGGCCATATATCAGGACATGTATTTCATCAGTTTTAATGTGCATTCATAGCAATTAAAGGCTGTGGTTTTGGTTTGCACTGATCAGGAGAATGCAGGTTTTTGGAATCTTTGTTCTAGTATTCCTGCAGCTCATTTTGAGCACTTGGGGTGGTTATAGTTTAAGGTTTGAGTATTAGACATATAAGTTAATAGGATAAAGTAGTTAAGAATTTCAAAAGCACTTATAGATGAAGGACAGGAATGATTGTATTAAGAATGGGAATGTTAATTTTGTTGATGGCTATGATTGTTGCTTTGTGTTTCCCCTGTCTGCTTGGAATTTTGCAAAGGGCCCTGCAAAAATCCATAGCAGCTGTATTTACAGATCAAAAAGAAAAAGGAGGAATTGTGGTAGGGGCTATCAGTGGGCCTGTTAGCTAAAGGAGTGAGAAGAAAGCTGAGAAGCAAGAAGAAGCTGATAAGGAGCTCTCTCCAAGGCTGTAACTAAGGAGACCAAGAGAAGTGAGGAACTGAAGAAAGAAGAGAACTTTGCAGCTGGACAAAGTAATTTTAGATAATCAGTTAAGTCACTGTAACTTTTCACCAATGATGTTATGTTGATTTATTGTGGCCAATAGTTAGGGTAGAAGTGGTATAAACAATTAGAAAGTGTATAAAAGTTCAGCCATGTTCGAAAATAAAGAGTCGCCATCTGAGACTGCTTGTTGTCTCTGCTTTGTGTTGTGATCACCTCTACAGTGACAGCTTTGCAGCTTTGAGGACTATGCCAGGGGACTCCTGAACATGCTCCAGGGTCAGGAAATATGGGCATTTGAATAAACTAGTGCTTTGGAAAGGGGGAGGCAGATCCAAAGCTGCCTGTATTTGCCGTCGGTGCCGTAATGGAAGGCATTATGCTAATCAAAAATGTTCCAAGTCGTGGATTTTGAAGAACATTTGATATCGAGAAACAGGAGCTGAGGCACAGGGTGGCACCGCACACAGACACAAATGCCCCAGCTGATGCCTCAGAGCAGACCACAGCAAGTCCCAGCCCAGCTGCCACAAGCAGCCTTTGCCTGACCATTGCCAATTTACAGCCATCCACAGCAGGGAGCGCAGGACTGGACCTGGCAACCTCCATCACAGTAACGTTACTTGAGTCATCTGTTCATTTGCTTCCCACAGGAGTTTTCAGACCACCCGGGCAGCGTACGCATGCATTGTTT